AAACTAAACGGACCAGGCCTTTCATCTTATTCTTCTGGACTTCGACCCAGCCGCCTAGTTCTACACTCCACGACACTGAACTTGAAGCAGCTCCCTAGATTAGAAGAGTATCCCAATTAACATTAAATTTTATCACTCCGTATTCACTTAAGAATTGTTTACATGGACAACTTTAAATTAATGACATGCTCAATACTACACATTAATTTGTTTAATAAATTATAATGTGGATTATGTTGTGCTAAAAATTTGAATTATGCTCGAATTAAGAACTTTGATAACAGATGATATTAGAAAGACTTTAATAATTTTAATTATGTGAATATATGTTTGAGATAAAATTTATTAGTTTTTCATCACATTTTACTGTATGTCTTAAAAAAATCTGGGGGCAACGCCCCTGGACCCCATTGTCTAGCACCTTGGGCAGTGCAAGGATACTGTTCAACATAAAAAGAATATATAGAGAAAGTTTACCTGAGTTTTGTAGTTTTCTTGGCCCTTGGTTTTTAGTTTATTTAAATTCTCGATTACTTGGTAGTTGGGATTGATACATTTATAAGATAGGCTTTCAACATGTTCAACATCGATATATGTTTTTTATCAATTACTCCGTATGATAGTGTATCATTGTCATGTACATGTTCTATTTTCTATTATATCAAGGCTTTCATTGTCTAGTAAAATAACACAACCTAAGCACACATACCCCACATGGAACAAAACAAGCTGATATGTGACTGCTGTTTTTATGAGTTCAAATAGACATATTTATGAAATCTCTTAAGTAGACCCAGGATCAGACATATTTGTAGGTAGGTAACAAGCTGTATATGCCCCGAATTGAGGGGAGTGTAGGGACACAAATCATGTATGCATGGCCAACCTATAAATTACGGAGTAGTTTTTTATCTTGTATAGTTGGTATATTGCACTCGAGGCTAGTGGAATTGAAGTTTCTCTTTTTTTACTGTTTGGGATGGGTGCATGTAGGTGGTTGTTGCAACTGGTCCGGTTAAACATGAAGATTTTGTTGAGCAAGTTAAGAAGAAGTTCACGGAGTTGTCAACAAACCCTACTACCGCTTCTCAGCTCATTGCTAAAAAACCTGCTGCGTTTACAGGCTCTGAAGTATGCTGCTACTTTTATTATGAGAATGTTCTTTTTTGTAAAAAAAAGTTACTCACACAAGACTTATTGATATATGTGTTATATGAAACTCAGGTCAGAATGATTGATGATGACATTCCGCTTGCACAATTTGTTGTTGCATTTGAAGGAGCAGCTTGGACAGATCCAGACTCTATTGCTCTGATGGTTATCCAATCGTTATTGGGATCATGGAACAAGAGTGCAGGTGGTGGAAAGCACATGGGGTTAGTATGGTCACATGTATTTAGTCAAATAAATTTGTCGAGTTATTATTTACTTCACACGTTCTGATTGGTCCAATTTGCAAAAGTTCCAAGCTTGTACAGAGGATTAGCATCAATGAAATCGCAGAAAGCGTGATGGCTTTCAATACAAACTATAGAGACACCGGTCTCTTTGGTGTACTTGCTGTTGCCAAGGTTTGTAAGCACTTCATTTCATTGTCTAAGCCTTCTCCTCTCTTTTTTCTTCCTAATTTCCTTAAAAATAAATGCAGTCAATATGCTTTGGATTATTTACTTGGCTCCACCTCTCCACTAATAAAAAAAACTATTTATTGATCACAGCCTGATTGCTTGGATGATCTAGCGTATTCAATCATGTATGAAATTAGTTCATTATGCTATCGAGTAACAGACGAAGATGTGACCCGTGCTCGTAACCAGGTGTGCTTACACAAAAAACACAGATACACAGATTCGTGCCTTGGAGCATCTGTTCAAAATATTCTTGCAAATCTCTTGACGTTTTGTTTCCTCTTTTTTTGCTTTTCAAGTTGAAATCTTTACTGTTGCTACACATGGATGGAACCAGTCAAGTGGCTGAAGATATAGGTCGCCAGGTAAATGCTTGAAAATTAGCCAATAACATTTTTACGAAATCTTAAAGGCATAAATGTTATTTTAGTCTCTACAGTTATAGTTTTGTTTTTGTTTTAGGTGATTTTTTAAATTAATCCCTGCAATTTAATTTGGTACTTCTACGTCAACTTTTGTTTAAAATTCATATATTGTTTTTGCACTCTATTTTTGAAAAAGGAAAATTTGATGTTAATTGTCTCAAGTTTGGACGGTATTATAAAAATAATCCTAGGTTGCAATGTCGCCAAGAATAATCAAAGGTTTGATTTGAAATCTAGCATTGTTAAACATTGTTAACTTTTTTTTAAATTATGATCTGACATTACCATTTGTACCGAAGTTAGAATCTCGAAAATATCATTAGTGAAGTTAAATTATATATAATTATGATCTTGAACTTAAACAAACTAAAATATTCTTGGCCATTTTTTTAATTTTTATAATGGCAAATCTAGCTGACAAATGTGTCATTTAGAAAAAAAAAAAAAATGGCTGAGATTATCTTGGTTCAGTCCACAGTCCATGTTGAAAAATGTTCAATCCACACATTTTCGAGATTATCTTGGTCAGACCATACTTTTCAAAAAGTTAACGGAATGGCGTTAGTGTTCGGATCATTTCTGAAACAATAGAGTTTCATTGAATCACTCCTGGCAACATTGCAACTTCGGACTATTCTTGGAAGACCGACCAAACACGAGATTGTTCGCAGCAAATTTTCATTATAAAAATTGAATGGAAATTGAAAGTGAGTCTGAAACAATGGAGGTTCATTAACTTCTTCAAGTTGAGCTTGAGGCATAATTCCCCTTAGTTACAGCTGAGTTATAGAAATTATGGCTGTGACAGTTGATTGCTGGAACGACTAGCGAGGTTAGGGCTGAGATGAAGTTTGACACCAAACTGTCTTATCTGAGCCACATCATTATTTTTTAAACAAAAGTTGATAACGATGGAGTTGAAAAGAAACAATTGATGAATAACATTTCCTTAGAGGGGCCTAAATAATACAGGATTTACAAAAAGTAGTATATGTGGTGGGATGAAAGAAATACACATACTGGATAATGCTGAAGAACTAGTTTTGTTTTGTCCTGCAGCTTCTTACATATGGAAGAAGGATCCCGTTTGCCGAACTGTTTGCAAGGATTGACGCGGTAGATGCCAGCACTGTTAAGCGCGTTGCAAACCGATTTATATTTGACCGAGTAAGCAAAAGGATAACATTTATATATCAATAGGTCAAAAGCTCTTGTTTCGTTTTATAAAGTATTAGCTAATCTGGTTTTTTGCCCATCCTCTCCTTTTCCCCCTTTTGGTTTTGTGAATGATGAATCCAGGATGTCGCCATTTCGGCAGTGGGCCCCATCCAAAACTTGCCCGACTACAACTGGTTCAGGCGCAGAACGTACATGCTCCGTTACTAGGCTGCGGCCCCTCAGCCTCCACAATATAAGGGGAGTAAGTTCTTCACAGAAATAATAAAAACACGCCATTTTTGTTTTGTTTTTTTTTGTTGAATTTTGGGTGCTATCAAGAGATAATAATAAGACTGCAAATTGATGAAATGTTGCATCCTCTGTCCCTTTTCACATTCCTTTTGTTCTCTGCATTGGCACTTCTGCGCTCTCTTCCATTGTAACACTTTTGGATTTTTGTTAGCCTTTGATCCAAATAACTTAACTGACTGCTACCCTACCCATTGAGCTCAAATATTCATTGTTTACAAAAATAAAAAACTGCCCATTACTAACTAATGCATAAGCTCTATTTAAGGCTGTTCATATGGACTTAATTTTGGTATTGTTTAGTTTCTGTTTAGTATTCCGTATCATTCAGTTTATTTCAAGATTACACTACAATTAATTTGTGAGTGATTTTCATAATTGGTCCCTTGTAACATAGATTTTCTGTATTTAGTCTTTTATTATCAAATATTACTCCGTGTTTCTTTTATGGGTGGTTTTTCATAAATAGTCTCTTTTTTATCTTTTGTCATGTTGGTGTTAATTTGAGGATTAAAAGTATAATTTGACACCTTATGGTCAGTAGCGTATTCTAAAGTTGGTTAAATGAACAACACAACGATAATGACTTTGATTGTGAATTACTACGTAGAATTCTGACAAAATATTACTCCAGTACATTTGTAGATTATGGTATTGGTATAACGTGATTGTAATTCACGAATAACACATCATGAGCGGCCTTTAGAATTGTGTGTAACAAGAAAATTATATGATCATGTGAAATTATACTTTTAGCTTTTAAATTAATACCAACAAAACAATATTAAAAAAAAAAGACTTCATGGAAAGATATCGATAAAAAATTGACCATCGAGATAATATAATAGAGGAAATAGAAAAAATCTTTTTTTATGAAGAATCATTTATGGAACTTATTCATTATTTATTCCTAGTTCAATTCATTTATGGTCTAATGAAGAAGTATCATTCATTTCAGAAAAAAACACCATTAACCTCACCTACCTAATTCATCATTTCATTCATTTCTTATGGAAGTTAACCCAAACAGCCTCCATAGGAGTAATCTAGTCCCAGACTTTGGGAGAAACACATGCTCCCTCAATTCTTTTTAATCTTCATGCTAAACTTTTAACAACAATATACTTTTGGAGTACATTATATTTGAAAAATTATAAAGAATAATACTCTAAATATAAAAAAATCAATTCAAATATTATGGTATTGTCTCTATTTTAATTCATTCTTTTTGTATGTTAATCAAAACTCGTCACAAGAGATGAAAATATATATTCCGTAATTAAAAGAGAACAAGAGGATACCCATTCCGAAAAAAAGTTCCACAATTGATCAGACAACGTTATTAATATATATGGGAAAATGATAGTCACAAACTTCACAAACTTGCTTTTTGTAGATTTTAAAATAAAATATCTTTTTTTATTTTAGTACATCTTAATTTCTAGGAAAGTGTTAAAAAGGAAAGTTTGTAAATTTTGTGAACTGTTTGTTTGTGACTCTAGCATTACTCATATAAATGAATCTTATTAGACAAACAAGATGAAAATAGAGATAAGGGCCATTGAGGAGATAAGGGCAAACTAGCCATGATGACCACAAACCAGAACCCGGCTTCAACCAGAGGCTTCATAGTCATATTTTTATAATCTATTCCAAAGTTGGAGAATGTATTAACAAGCATCTATCCTTGCGATTAATGAGCCTTTGAGGAGACTCAATTGATAAGAACTCCCTTAACACATTGAGTTGAAACAAACATAAAAAATCGAACATAAAATATCGAACATAAAAAAAACCCTAAATGAGGCAGCATCTTGATACTGAAGCCTGTACAACAGGGGAGTAATTTTTTTTTTTATAAATGATACACAAACACGCCTAAGTACAAAAGAAACTAAGAAAGGACACTTGATTTCATTTCTGGGATTGAAATTCCTAACAGACTAATGTACAACATATAGATTCACTGAATAGCTAATCGCCCCACCCCCACCCGACAAAAAGCCCCCAACGGAAGATACGTTACATCAGGTTGAATTTGTGCCACAGAGGATATTGTTAACCAGTTTTTTTTTTTTTTTTTTGGCAAAATACCTTTATGGGGGCACAAACAAAATGAACTAGTCGGCCAAAAGCAGAAATACCCTATAGCACACATTGGCTACCCAAAGTTGCTCTGTGAATTTTGTTTCCTACCCTTCCATGCTTCCTACGTAACTATACATGTGTCAGTTTGTTTTTACCTGTGAAAGTATTTACAGCTGCAACCTCTGCCTAGTCATGATATCCCCTCTCCTGGCGACGCCATTCCTCCGGGCCCCGCCAGTCCAATCCTCTTCGTCTTCGTAATCAGAATCATCCCCATCACCCACTCGCCCGGATCTCCTGCTTCCTTTTCTTGGAGTTGAACGTGGTGGCCGTTTCCTTTTTATACTTGCTGTGTATAATGCATAGTCAACAGTGTCCTCCTTCATTGCATTCTTGAAGTCCTACAGATAATAATAATAAAAAGCAGGGCGGGTGCACTTTACACTTTACAGTCACTGGTTGCAACAAACGAGAATTCAGATGAGAAAATTTGTTCTCAAATAAGTTGTTGCCTTTTTTATATGATGAAAGCATTAGTTTCTCATTTTACACTAGGCACTAATGAAGGGGTAATCTAATTTTGTTATACTATATTTGTCTTGAAATTAGAGAACTTTATTGTTTCCTCAATATGTGTGGCATGTTTAAAGCGACACTTAGTTGGAAACAGTAGTAGTCATGTGAAAGTGTAACTAACTATTTCAGAACGAAACATACCTGGTATCGCCTCATGAACTCTTCGTGTGTATTTGGGGGATCAATGCGTATGTCACTCACATTGAACTGAATACTCTGCCTTGAAAGAGTTTCCCCGGGTTTCGGAGGATCATTGGGAGAGTATGCCTGGCCAACCCAAAAAAAGGACACATTGCAGACATTGAACCTTATATACCACAAACAAAAAATGTCCGGCGTAGAGGCACCAAACCTGGCAACGAGCATCATTTAGGCCATAAATGATCTTTAGGTGCCTTTTTAGTCTCAGAAGCAGTTGTAGTGCACCAGCTTGCAGAAAGTCCGCCTGCATCAATCATATTTTCAAAAATATAAAGTAATCAAACTTTTTGAATTTTTATGCATGTCAATGTTATACAAGTCAAACCCCATTTGTTTAAATAGCATGAAGAAATGCAATTGGCTATCAAGTCTTGCTATGAATGCCATATTTGGGTCAGTCAAAAATTTGGATGAAAATCAAATACCGGAGTATGATGCTTTAATTATTGATATCTGATATGGAGAATTAAATTAAAATTGAAGAGATAACATAATAGTTGATTGTATTATACTTACAATTATTTTAAACTCATTTTATTTAGCAAGATATATACTAAACCTTCCAAAGCTGCCCCCCCCCATTGGCCCTAAGAACACTTATTAAAATTTGTGTATACATATTATTTAAAAAAACACCTGAAATTTCTGCAAATCGACACTTGAAACGACATGTGGGTTTCCCGAAGAGAGATCATTTAAATCCAATGGGACATGGTATTCACATCCTTGATCAGCTTTGAACTCTTCTTCCATAACTTCACTGCCAACAGTTGCTCTAGTTTGATACAAAACAGACCGGGCTGCATCTTTCTGAACATTCCTTTTTTCATTTATATTTAGTTCACCTCCTTGCAGTAAATGAAGGAAGACCTTCAGGTTTGTCTCCACATTACCAGCTCTAACTTGGATAACACGGTTAATGGTATGGATCAAATATAGTGGCTCATCCGGCATTGTGAAAGGTAGCAAAGCAAGAATTTCAGTGCAATATCTGAGATGAAGAAAATATATATATTTAATAACACGGACAAACTCAAGATCCGTAATCACATGCAAAACAAATTATTAGCGGTATGTTTGAATAAAGAAAATGCCAGGGGAAAGGAGAAAATGCAAAGGATGAAACATGATTGTTCTTAGTTGATTTATTAGTATTTATATAAGGGAACAATGCCTAATTAAGACTAAAACATGCTTCATATACGAAAATAGGACCTTAGATGTTGTTATACCAGAATAAGACTTATAATGACAAAACATAATGCCAAAAAAAGACTAAACTAATAACACACAATATCAAATTGTAGGTGTTTCACGGTGCCAACACTCCTATTTAGGGGATAAAACATAAGAAGCCTTATTTTGATATAAGGCTCATGTTTTAGTCTTATTAAGGTATATTCCTTTTTATATAGTAAGGAGTAAATACTTAATATCTAAAATGAATTTATTGTGTTTTAGTCTATCTTGTATTTTCCCTCATATTTGCTTTACTTTCATTTTTATTGTGTTCGTTCCTACCATCTTTCCCTTGTACTTTCCAAAATACTGAAGGACCCTATGTGTTTATAGGATGGGTTAGCCACAACTTACATTAGAAAAGGGATAACCACATCATCGCAGATTGGTGTATCGAATTTGCGTACAACTGAAGCCATGAATTTGTTTCTCGAAACTCGATTCCCACGGATGAGTTTGTAAACTCGTGAGACACCAAGCCTTGCAAGGGTAAATGAGCCAGTATCCGAATTTGGCGGCACATTTCCAGGAACTTTATATTGGGCTTTTGCATATTGACGGTTTGATGCACCACCTGTGGCTTGCATGAACTGGAAAGACATTCGCAACCCATCCCCAAGGCGGTTCTCGAAAAAGGATGGATATCTGAAACCACGCCGAGGCTGATTAACATACATGTAAACATCGATGTTAGAAGACAAGATATTACAGGAGGCAATTGACATACTTTTCATTCATGGTCATCAACATATGATGTGCCAGCTTCGAATTCTGCTCATACGGATCAGTTTCAAGTGCTATAAGGTATGGAACACAAGTGATGGGATGGACTAGACCTTGACGTAGCACAATCTCCATAATCTGGGAAAAGCCAAGGCTAAAAGCACACATGATATGCCTGTAAAACAAGAAATCAAACAGGACATAAGGAGAAAGCCAAACTTAGGACATCACCTTAAGAGCAGACTGGCGTACTTGCTCATTTGCATCTAAAGACCTTCCCAAGATTTTGTCCCAATAAAACTGAACTATGCCTCCACAAATGTTGGTATCACCAGCACCGGCAGCTACAGGGACACAATGCCTACTGTCTGTTGAGTTATTAGCTTCACTTCCACCAGTTTCATTTATTCCCATT